ATTACCATTTTTCATCCTTTTTTTTATTATTAATTTTTTTCCATTTCCATTTATTTTACTGGCAGCTCATTTTTTTTTTCTGTCTTGAATGGAAGGGATTGTAAACTGTCAAGCAAAACTGTAAATGGGAATTTTAATGGGACTTTTCTTAAGGCAGATGTTCCACAATAGCCAATTTTCTAGGGTGTAAGCCTAAGTGCTATCCTTATGATAGGCTCCCAAACCTATGCAATGGAGAAAGAGTAGTCTCAATATTGAAGTGGGTCTGTTGACCACTTTCCTGATGAAAACTTTACTTCATCAGTCGACACTTGATACTGACAACCATGTTTTGATAGGTTTTCACCATACCTTCTATGCCTGAAAGGTTTGCCTGTTATTCTTAACGTAACCTTGCTTTAGGTGTCATCATGGTGTCATGATGCTTTTATATTCACTGATTGTCTCTAAACCTTCAAAATCCTAAAATAGAGAGATCAAATATCACACAGATGGAGTCCAGTAGGTAATTAGTTGAACTCTGAAGAATATTGAATGCACATGATTTTATTTAAGGGTAATTAGAGTAAATGCCGCAGAATGTGCATGCAAATATATTGTTATGTATGTAGGTTTTTCTGTAATAAATTGTTTTTTACCCATTTATTATTTTTATAGGTTATTTTGTGTTTGTTTGTTGCATATAAGCTGCCTAAAATATGTTAGAGGTTGTACGTTAAAACATGATCAAATTTAATGAGATCAAGAGGCGAACTAATGGTTTTCACAAATGGATTATGCTCTAGTCTTACTTACTTACATCTTTAAGAACAATATTACAGTTTTACTTTCTATACCAAAACAAATTTGGATTTTTTTTTTTTTTTTTGGCAACTGACGTGAAATCTTTAAATTTATAGCTCCTCAATAGATATGGATGTCTTTTAAGGTTTTAAACTGTTCAATATTACTGATATATTACTAGGATGACTGGCTGTTTAAGGGTGTTATTTAGAATGGACCAGTAATATATATCTTTTTAACCCTGATAACAATAGTGAGAGCAAAGATTAGGTCTGTGAATTTGTTTTTTGTTTTTTTGTTTGTTGCTGATTTTCTTGAGGGTTTAAGTAGATCATATACCTATGCAACGTTCCTTTTTTTAGTGGACACAACATTCAATACTCCAGACAAACAAGAAGAAAGCTCTGAAGTGCAGACATACAGCCAACCAAAGTAAGTCTTTAATGTACATCATATTTGTACAAAGAATAATTTGCTTCATCAAACTTTTTTTAAGTTTGTCTTTTTATTTTTCAAGTCTTGACTGCTTCCAGCTGTGCCA